AAATAATAAAAATGTTTACAAATCATTAGAAAAAATGTCCATGTCCGACGAGCGAGAGACATGATTATTGTTATTATTAATATTAGGTTTTTAATTAATTTAAAGTGCCGTTATAGTGTATGCTCCCAGGCCTTAATTACCTGCAGCGTCCCCTCAGTGTGATCTGAACTCAGTAAAAAGGCCTTTTTCTACTCTGCTCCTGTGACCTGGAACACCTTACAACAGGACCTGAAGCAGTCCACTTTGATTTCTTTAAGATATTTTAAACATCTGATAATGTCAATAGAAACATTAAAGCAAACATGTTCCTGTTTTTAATATTTTACCTTGTTTTATATGGCATCTTGATTTGACTGTTTTTATAACTACTTTTATTTTTAATAGCTTTTTGTTGAATTATTGTTGTCTGTACTTTATATATTGTCTGTTTAAATCAGGTCTCTTGAAAATCAGTCTTTGTGACTCAATGAGACTAACCTGTATAAATAAAAATAAATTAATGAAAAATGTAGCCTTTAACATGCTTTAATATCCTGTTTTATCATCCCATTTCTGTCTCATTGACCCATAATAGATAATGGATGGATGATTTAATCTACTTTGCCTTTTTTGTTTGTTTTATGGTTTTGTACAGTACTGGTCTACTTCAGTGCTTAATTTGTAAACCAAACAATGCTGGAATGCAAACAGACCAAGTTTCACTGAGACCAGCACTGATACTGGAACGCACGCACAAATGTCAAAGTACCAAACCAATTCATATTTAAAATTTACTTTTAATCACTTTATGTGTGATTTTAAGTGCAGCCTATTAAGCGCAGGATTGTTTCTTACCTTACTAGCTGTTTAGCCTGCTCTGCTTCTCTCACGCATCCTGACACCCCCCACCCCCTCAGTTCCTGCAGGTAAGGGGCGTTTCACTTCGGGACAAATTGAGATCACCCATTGGTCAGTTGCTGACGAGCCCATTGGATTGATTGACAGATGCCATTTAGTATCCGACTCATGCAAAAAAAAAAAATCATAGATTTTGAGATGGTTTGTGTCATCATTTACTCCATGTTTATTTAATATTTTGCTGAATCTAAGGTTTGAGAACTAAGCTTCCTTACATAACGTTATTATACTTAGTTTCCACACACGTGACCATTATTGCGCAATACCAGGTTTTCCGCCATTTGTTGAGGCGCATGTGAAGAAGACTGCGTACAGACAGACCAGAGCTCAGTATAGTGATACTCCTGACCAAGAGCAAGATATAGGCATCAAATAGCTGTGGTCCCTATGAGGTGTAGAAAGAAATCATGTCAGACGAAACAGACAAGTTGTCACCGAGAAGTTACTTTGATATCGTTAATTCTTAATGAACACGAGGAGTGCCTACAACGGAGGAGCTTCGCAGCTTTAAATCCATGGATGCTTATAATCATTGATGGATTTGTGAAGGACATCCGAACTCCTCATGTTAATAAAGTTCTGGTGACTGGCAGAGTAAGTAGTTGCAATAATATACATGTAGATGTCCCTCATAGCTACATGCTACATCAGCTAAGCTAAACTGAACCTGAACTGGAACCAGAGCTTGGTTAACTCCAGTTCATCGTGGTGTCATTATGAAAAGCTTGGACTCGACACAGAACAGGAGTCCTGACTCAGCAGCAACTTTTGCTGGAGCAATACAAAGAGCAACTTTCTGACCGAAGCTGTGAACAGGTACATGCAGACCAACGATCTGGGAAATGTTGTGAGCGCTTGTTTAAAAACTTTTCCCTATTTGCTTAATTGAAGACGAAATATGTCAGTAAAATATGGATATTGAGTCAAATAAATAGTGGAAAAACATCTCATCACTGTCTCATATCTTCCTGCAGTTGGTGTGTTTAAATGGCGCTGGTCAGAGATGACGTCACGAGTACTGTGTGGGGCGGCTGTGGCTGAGTGGTTAGAGCAGTCGTCCTCCAATGCGAGAGTTGGGGGTTCGAATCCACCAGCAGTCACATGCCGAAGTGTCCCTGGACAAGACACTGAACCCCTCATAGCCTCTGATGTGTGTCCCATCGGTGTATGAATGTGATAAAGCTCTGATTAGTCTCATTAGAATGATTTGTTCAATTAGCTTTTTAGAGATCTAGTGCTGTATGAATGGATAAATGAGGACACAGATTGTTGTGTAAAGCGCTTTGAGTATCTTGAAATAAGAGAGAAAGGCGCTATATAAGTACAGACCATTTACCATTTTACCATTTTACTGCGGGGAACCAAAAGTCTCGGCTGTCGAGCAAACAATTCACCAGCTGGCTTGAACAATGGCCCCCTCCAATGCTTTTGTCCATGTCAACCTTAGCTAAGACGACGTCCCCGGGGCTAAAATGGACTCTGAATGTATTAAACGATTAAAAATATTTAACAACTATGGCAATCAGCATATTGGCTGTCGCTATCGTAAGTTTCGTAGCAACAGCGCTTCTTGGATATCATCTTTTTGTTGTTTCTATTGGCGCAAACCACGACCACCGCGCCAATCGTATTGTACTCGAAGTTCTGCCTGCCTAAGATCTGGGTACTTGATGACATCACATATTGTGTAGGCAGATATTTTCAGTATCTCTATCTCCAGTAAATTCGTATAAACTTGGCACCAAAAGTGGTAAAAATGTTTGCCTATAATCAGTGATACAATAAATAAAAACTGTAATCAACCAAACATATTTTCTTGCGTCTTGTTCGATGTTAAGTTGAAGCTGGTGAGAACACTGTTCAGAAGTGCCTTCACATTAGCTGCTTTTAATTTAATTGAGAATCACAGTTTGAAGTAGCATTTACTAACATTAGGGCTCTTTTAATATCAATAGCTTGAGTTTACGGATCCTTTTCGTTTAATGCCTTGGGGTTGTTAATCTTTCAATTATTATTTTATTAATTAGGACAATTAAGATTGATCCAGTTATAAAGATAAACACAAATGCAGTCTTTTATTTCTCCTATTGTTTAGACTTGAAATTAGCTTTAAAAGTTTAATAAATTCTACTCCATTTTTCACATTACTTGGGTTTTTTGTTGTCAGTAGTGGGGTGGGGAGATATTACTCAAGAGCTTATTATGCTGTCAGCTCCCATCAAGTTGGCTGTGTGAGTTGTTTAGACGGAGTGAACCCCTCAGATGTTTCCTTGTGTTCTTTGGGCAGTTCCTACTTCACATGTGGGAAACTTGTAGTCCGAGGGGCAGGAGTGACCCTTGGACGATTTCCAGCCAGTCCCCAAAATTCTTAATTGACAAGAAAACAATTTTTTTTAAGTTGGTGAAAATCTGCATTATATAAATTAAATTTAATTCAGTTCAATTCAGTTTATTTATATAGCGCCAAATCACAACAAAGTTGTCTCAGGGCACTTTACAGGAACATTCACATACATTTAAGGAACTTTTAATTAATCTTGGACAAAGACACTGAAAATCTTTAGTTTAAGATAGGCTAGATGTGTTCTCAGAACCAGACTGACCCTGAATCGTATTTAAGATAATATATTGTCACAAGAACCAGTTCACAGAAGTATGTCTTATATTCCTAGAGAGTATTGGGAAGACATATTTTAATCAAGCGTGATAACTATGCTACAAGAAACAGCCTCAGAAACAAAGTCTTCCAGATTATCGCTCTTAATGAAATAAAATTTTCAGTTCTTTGTGCCGCCCTTTAATTGCTTTAAATATCTTGATTTGGCCCTTTGGCAAAAAATGTTGCCTACCCCACTCATAGATAGTTTTTGTGGGGCTTTTCTGTTTTAGCTGGGAACGGTAAAACCAACAAAAATGGTCAAATATTCCTGACGTATACACTTTAACGTTTTGCATTTTTGTTTTTCTGTTTGTTGGGGGGTTTTTTTACGTTTCAGATGCAAACTTTCATTTAAGAGGAGCTTTGTAACATTATAAAGCAAGTGGATAAACTTTTAGTAAAATTTAAATAAGATGCATCTTTCAGGCTCCGCCCCCTCCCTCTCTGCTGTGCTTCAGATTTGGCTCTGAAGCCCCTTCCTTTAGGGGAGTGTAGCATTCATAAACATACTAAAAACCCCAGCAACCTCATGGCTTCTACAGACAGTTTTTACCCAAGCACAGTCAGCCTGTTTGTAAAAACTTTTTAAAGTTGATTACTCATCAAATATTTTTTATTTCTTATTTTAATAAATATGGCAAAAGTTATTTTTATTTTATGGTTTAACACCAGTTTAATATGACTAAATACAGTAGTTCCTCGTTTATCGCAGGGGTTACGTTCTGGACCTCCCTGCACTAAGTGAAAATCCGTGAAGTAGGGACATTATATTTATTTTAGTATTTATATATATTTTAAGGCTTTAGAAACCCTTCCCACACTCTTGCAATGTTCTAAGCTCTTAAACCTACATCATTTTAACCACATGTATATTGAGCTGCTCGGGGCGGCTGGAGCAGCTCTGTTACATTTATTCTGAGATTTTGCCTTTGGAAACTTTAATTCCTCTTTCTGGATGTAAATCACATTTTTTTGGGTGATTGTTTCCTCTGGTATCAGATGTTGTGCAGCTGGAAGGCTTTTTACTATTCTTTTTTTTTTACTTTTGGACATTTGTTATGATGCGTAACCATGACAAAAAGGTGGTTTTCTACAACTGGGAGCAGCTGATTAACATCTCAAAAGCTCAAATAATATCTCAACTACAGCCTCAAATCTCAAATGAGTTGAAAAGGAGGTGCCGTAGATGCATGCCCATCTACCTGCTGGCTGTGCTCAAGTGGCTGACCACTGAGATCCTGGAAGGAAACTTGGCTTGTGACAGCAGAAGGACCGGGATTGTCCCCCGGCACCTGCAGCCGGCTGTCCGCAGTGACGAGGAGCTCAGCACGCTGCTGGGAGTAGTGGCCATCGCTCTGGCAGGAGTTCTGCCCAGTATTCTGGCGGTCCTGCATCCCGGGGGAACTGAGAGGCCAGCCGAGTATGGATGGACGGATCGGCTTGCATCTGCCACCTGCCAGTTTCCATCTTCTGATCCACTGAGGAGCAGACCTTTACAAGACATCCTTCCTGCCCACAGCCATCAGTATCTATAACATCTCTTAATGAAACAAGGATGATGAGCTACAACAGCATTTAATTTTCCTTTGGGGTTAATAAAGTATATTAATAAAGCATTATTGAATTGAATATGTACTGCAAATTTTTACTCTTCAGCTCTGCAGAAGACAGCGGCTCGTTTCTGGTCTGGCTCGGCAGACCTACCCTGCTGATTCTGGTTGGCTGTCTGCAGCCGAGGCTGAGCATCAGAACGCTTTTGGAGGGAGCTGGGCCTTCGGATGGCCAGCACGGGACCAGACGGTGGTCTGATTGAGTCCAACTCCGGATGAAAAATGTCCCGGTGGGCTCCAGAGAGAACGCCAGACCTCTGGGTGGCGCCTCGCCGCTCAGAATTCCTCGTGGGCCGTCAGGCAGCACTCAGATTCACCAATCAGTCTGGAGGTCTGGTTCCCAGTCGGTTCTGGTCGGCTCTCGGGCGCCGAAGTCACTGTATGAATAAGGACCGAACGTTTTAGGATCAGATCAAAACTTTACCTCTACTTATTTTAACAGAAAGCTACGGGGCTTCTGGGTGGGGCCCTGTTGTCTTCTGGGAAATGTAGTGTAGGTTTATTGAGAGAAAACTACAAAATGGCAGCGCCTGTCCGAAGTATTTTATTTTTTCGTTAACTTTTTACTGTATCCCGTACCTTCTCAGTCACATGAGTAATATTGAAGTTGACAATCCTGTTGTGTACAATTTTTTTTCTCATGTACAATAATGGTTTGAAAAATCGTGAAAGAGCGAGTCCGTGAAGGTTGAACCGCAAAATAGCGAGGGACTACTGTATTCCTCTTCAGATTACATGCACTTATTTTAAAATTCAAGATTAATTTGCTAGAATAGGTTTTTGACATTTTGAACACTATCAGAGAGTGCATATTCAGCAACTGGGAGATAAATGACACTTTGTTGCTCTTGCAGGTCACAATGAAGAGAAAATAAAATGGAATCACTGGAACATTTCTGTGTAGCTGCCTGTTTTTCATGTTGTTGCCATGTGTGCTGTTGCTGAGGGGTTCTGCAGCAGCATATGTCAGCTTCGCTGCTGTCACCCACCACTGTGACTCAGAACTGTGACGACATCTTGCACACTCATGCACTCGGTTGACTAAGTTGGTTGCCCACTCACCTCCCTGTCTTTTTCTCTCCCCGCAGTTACTCTGGTAACAGCGGGGGTGCCGGTCTGGGTGTTCGCCCTCCTTCAGACTTCACCCAGGCCGCTGCTGCTGCTGTTGCTGCTGCCGCTGCCACAGCAACCGCCACAGCTACTGCAACCGTTGCAGCAATCCAAGAGAAACAGAACCAAGAGCTGAGCTATGGCCAGGTATCATTTTCACAGAGAACACACACATTTAAAGCTGAAAACGTTTAAGAAAGTTTCCCACATCTTGTTTGGTGGCTCTGGTTGGGAGCTGTGATGCTGAGCTGCAGGGCTGTAGGAGGGCTGCAACTCAGAAGCTGCTTCCCTGCTGTTTACCCACATTCATGACACATGCTTCTTATTAACAGCCGAGACGTTGCATCATTTGATACTGCCCTCTCAGGCCATTATTTAAACTACAAATCTTCATGATGAGTCACCGTAGAGCCTGAGAAAACTAATTTCTGTAAAAGATGGCAGTTTCCAACTGGAACAAAGTTAAAATACTGAACCTATTTTTAATATCTATTTTTTTTCAACTAAAATTGGATCAAGAAAAATCCGTCCACTAAAAATGCATTGGTATAGGTCAATATTTTATCATCTAAATGTTTGCCAACTCATGATACATGTACCACCGTCTGAAACTGGCTGCATCTGTAGAAAATAGATGGAAGCTTGTTAAATTAAACAACCTTCTGCTGTGATTGATCAGTAACTGTATATTCAGAGCGGTGGGGACGTCACACTGTGTGTATCTGTCTGTGCATGTGTGTGTTTGCATGAGAACAAGAGAGAGAACAGATGTTTGTGCACCTTTCCGTCTTTAGCTCAGCGACCTGCACTTTATAAACTGTTCAGGTTGTGGAAACAAACGGTGAACTTTGTTTTTACCTCTTCTGTTTTACCTCACCTTTTTCCAGATGAGTGGAGCATCCTCCTACGGGACTCAGTTCTTGTCCCATGCTGGGCCTCGTGGCCCTCAGGGGATGAACCCCGGGGGTATGGTTTCTACGAGGCCTGGACCCCCACCTTCCACTGGAGGCTTGTATGCACCTCATCCTGCACAGAGTCAAAGGATGCCCCAGCATGGAGTGTATCCAGGAGGACAGCAAGGCCTCAAACGGCCTTTTCATTCAGAGGTTGTTTACAGATGCAGCAGCTCTTTTAAGCTTATATCAGAATGTCTTTCCATACTGGGGTAGTTTTATTTCTGTTGGGTTAAACTGGGAAGCTCATAGCAAAGCAATATTTAAATTGTGACTAATTTAAATGACAGATCTAAACGTAACTGGATTTGACAGTCCACTCTCTTTTCCAGGGTTTTCCAGGGCAGCAGTATGGCTCTGGAGGGATGACTGGGTTCCCTAACCAACCTCTGCAGTACCCAACTGGCCCACAGCAGAGATGTGCCCCGTCACCTTCTTACTCTCCCAGTCGGATGCCCCACATGGGACCGTACACTTCTGGATCTCACAATCCAGCACAGTTCCCTGCTGGTGCTGGTCAGCCAAATCCTCCACAGTATTATAAGGTACGCAGATCCACTGACTCACAGACCAAAGCTTGACCATCTGACTCAATGTTATAAAAACGTATGAAGGCCTAGCATTCTGTAAAGCAGGGGTTCCCAACCCTGGTCCTTGAGGAACACCAGCTTGTTTTAGTTGATTCTCTGCTCTGACACACCTGATTTTAATAAATGGGTGATTTACAGGCTTCTGCCGAACTTGAGGAAGTACCAGTAGTTAAATCACTGAATCAGGTGTGCTGGAGCAGGGAAACAACTAAAACATGCAGGATGGTGTTCCTCAAGGACCTGGGTTGGGAACACCTACTTTAAAGGGTTGCATATTGCTCTCAACTTTCCTGCCAGAGTTTTAGACTGTATGTTGTGGTCTTGTTAAAACTAGAACTTTGAGTTAAGATGAGAATTAGATAAATATTTTCAACTCTTCTTTGTGTTAAAGTGGATAAAGTTAATCCAAGTGTTACGCTTGTTGTCTGTGGTCTTCAGTCAGAACCTTTCAATGGTCAGGGCAGTCTGCCGTCTGGTGCAGCAGGGGGGTATAATGCTTTCACACAGGCTGCAGTGAATGGGGTAAGTCCTGTAAACACTCACTTCTTTCTCTCATAAACCAACAAGCCCAGCTTGACTCTCGGTTAATTGAGTGTATGAAGAAAAAATAATTATTCTAAAACATTTGTAGAAAAGTTTGTGGTTCTAAAAACTCGTTCCGGTTCTCGTTACTCAGCCAGGTCGAGGTGGAGTGATGCCTGGATACCCCAGCTCACCAATGGGAGGGAATCCTACCCCGCCCATGACTCCTGGTAGCTCCATACCTCCCTACCTTTCCCCAGGACAGGACACCAAGCCCCCCTATCTTCCACTGGACTCTAAACCCAACATCAGCACCCAGCAGCCTCCTACAGGTGAGACGCAGTCCAGCACATGACAGTACTGTGTCACACACACTTTCTGCAATAATGTGATCATGTGTAATAATAATAATGTAACTGCCTGCTATAATAAAACAGCACAATATTATTTTGCAAATAAATTTAACAGTGAAATCTATAAAATACAAGTTTTTAAGTTAGATTTGTATCTGTGGTTTAACTCATTTAGACTCCAGATCAGTTTTAAACAAATATTTCTGTTGTTTCTGACTCATAAGAGAGTCCAAAACAGACACGGCTTCCGTTTTCCTTTCTAGGTAATCCCAGTGACGACCTGCGTCTGACATTCCCAGTACGAGACGGTGTTGTGCTGGAGCCGTTCAGACTGGAGCACAATCTGGCTGTCAGTAATCATGCATTCCAGCTCAGAGAGTCCGTCTACAAAACTCTGATCATGAGGTGAGGCTGGCCATCTGATCACACCAATTTCTCAAGACAATTCACATCGTTCTGCTGTTCTGTGTTTGTTCTTCAGACTCGGCAAGATTTACTAAATGACTGAGGGGGTCTATTTGTAATTTTTATTTCAGTTTTTTGATTGTTTCTTTAAAGTTAGTGCTCAAAGTAGTACTCTGATCTAATATTGAGCCGAGGCTAATTACTCGCACGTGTACAGTAGCTCCACTTTTATGTCAAGTATTCACTCTGTACGGTCAAGATTTAAGTAACATACAAATAGATTTACTGTTTACTTACAGTAACAATCCTCCTGTGTGCCGCTGATCCAGCGACATAAGCTAGAATATTTCTTTATTTGATTGCTGCACCGATCAGAAATATCCCAGCACTCATCAGTTTATGCCTCTTGTACCGTATTTTCCGCCGTATAAGTCGCATCAGTCCAAATATGTCTAATAAAGTGGAAAAAGCAGAAATGTGTCACTTCGCCGTATACGTTGCATCTATTATGTGTCACCGCTGACAACCCGGACAGTGTTTCTCCTAGATGACTTGCCATGGCGGGGCGCTCATCTCATCTGTGATTTTTATTCAGGTGGGGGGGAGACAGACGGAGACACGTCCTGAGCTGCCTTTAGCTTCTTAGCTTGTGCACTTGTTATTGCGAGCCGCTAGTTTAGCTTTACGTCAGTGCCGACAGGTGGTTGGAGTTGGGAGGGGGTTTGGTAGACGGGGCGCTCGGTTCTGTTGCCGGGGTGGTGTCTCATTTTAACATTTCCTTAATAAATGCACTTTGACGGTCAAATCAGCTGCATTTCAAAAGCCGATTCGCGGGAGCGCGCAGACTAGAGCTGTCATTTCTAACCCGACCTGGATTCAGACCGGGCCGGGCCATAATAATGTGCTTAATGTGTGGACCGGATCGGTGTCTGGCTTTTTATTGCATCAGGAACGCGTAAGGCCGATGATCCAATATATGCAAACATGGCTTGCCATACTGCACCTGCCGCACACGGTTGTTTGACCGCACGCTGACCGTCCGGTTGAAAGAGGTAAAAAGCTCAGTTAAGCTTCAGAAGGACTACTGCCAGCGACCCATCAGCCCAAATGGTCGTTCATTCAGCCGCTGCACTCAGCGGACGCACGCAGCCGACGACCCAAACAGGTGAGATCACAAAATATCCGACATGTCAAAGCAGGGTCCAATGCAGGCAGAAGCAGGGCCAGCATTTAATGCACTTTGACGTCCATGAAAGGACAAACACCCCCTCAGCTCCGATCTTCTGCCCCCTTTATTCAGCCGCATGCATCCACCGACCGTTAATAATAGTCCGTGGTATAAGCAGTCAAAGCTTAATTTAAAATGTTGAGGTATTTTTCGGGGCAGCACGGTGGCACAACTGGTAGAGCTGCTGCCTCTCAGCGCGCAAGTCCCTGGTTCAAATCCCAGTCCGGGAGCCTTTCTGGGTGGAGTTTGCATGTTCTCTCCGTGCATGCGTGGGTTTTCTCCAGGTGCTCCAGTTTCCTCCCACAGACTAAAAACATGCATGTTAGACTGATTGGTAACTCTGAATTGTCTCTAGGTGTGAGTGAGAGAGTGAATGGTTGTTTGTCTCTGTGTGTTCCTGTGATGGACTGGAGACCTGCCCAGGGTGTACCCCACCCCTCGCACAGTGATTGCTGGACATGGGCACCGGCGACCCCCATGACCCAAAATGGAAGAAGCAGGTAAAAGATAATGGATGGATGGATGGATGGATGGATGGATGGATGGAGGGTTTTTTCGGGTTCGGACCTGTAATTACTGTTAATTCATTGGATCGGGTGGTGTTTGGTGCTGATGGCTGCGGGCTGGGGCCGGGTCATTTCGGATTATTTGGACCCGAGTGCATCCCTAGTGCAAAGGGACGACTCACTGTGCGTTTCTTCAAAATTTAACAAGATATCCACCTAAAAACAATTTTATGTGTTTGCTCGACTTTATAGTAAAGGTGTGTCTCAGTTGAACTTTTACTTAATAAAAGGACTTTAACGGTCAAATCAGCTGCATTTCAAAAGTATTCGCTGCCTCGGTGCTCCAGGAGCGCGCAGAGAAAGGAAATCAGGAAGGAGGAACTGCACATTTCTTTGAAATTAAACAACATAAGCACCTAAAACAATTATTTGTTTGTTCGACATTATAGCAAAGGTGTGATATTGCACAGGTCAGATCTTACACCATTTATTTGTACAAACTGTTTCCTATCTTTCAAATAGCTAGATACCCAGTGTAATGCTGGTCCTCTTATACCATATTTATTTAATTTTTCAAGGAGAATAGTGGTCAATAGTATTGAATGCTTTTTTTAAATCAACAAAAATACTAACACAATACTGTTTTTGATCGACAGCAGCTATTATTTCCATGAGAGCCATTTATTTAGTTTTTTTGCTCTAAACCCATACTGACTGCTACTTAAAATGTTTTGTTTAGTAATAAATTTATCTAATCTGGTCACAAATAGTTTTTCTAGAATTTTTGAGAACTCTGGTAATAAGGATATTGGTCTATAATTATTGAACATACATTTATCACCATTTTTAAAGAGAGGAACTACCTTAGCTACTTTCATATTGTCTGGAAATATTCCTTTTGAAAATGATAAATTACAAATATATGTAAACGGCTCGATAACATAACTCATTATGTCCTTTACAAACATCATATCCATGTCCACCCAGTCTTTTGATCTCTTATCTGTCAGATTTTTTACTACATTCATTATTTCTTCTTTGTCAGTTCCATTAAGAAAAATACTGTTGTCACAACTTAAAACTGAATGGTTCACATTATTGTCCACTTTTGGTGTTTTAGCTGCAAGGCTTGATCCAACATTATACTTTTACCCAATCGTTGCTCATCTGTCATGTGTCACCTAATCCCCTAAGTTTGATTAAATTATCTTCATGACTTCCTGTTTACAACCGTTGTCCAGTGGGTAATGTAGTTTCATAACATTTAGCCGTAGATTAGAGTTGGTAAAACCGAACCTGAGAATAAAAATAATAAAATATAAAAGCTGATGGTGTATTAAGGACAAAAATGTAAAAGTGCTGGTACTGTGTACTGGTGAGTTCCAGCCTGCTTTAAGCACTGGATTTTGGATTATTGTTTGACGGGTTGTTGTTTTCATATCATATGGGTGCTGGTACTTCAGCCAAGTCAAACTCCCACCTCATATTCAGCAGGTGCTGTTTGCACCAATAAGGTGTGAAATGTTTACCATTTTGTTTACTAACACAATGCACATATGATTACAGGTACCAGCTGCACGTGCCCCTGCACTGGATTAAGCTGTGCTTTATTACAAATCATCTATGCAGGGCATGCATAATCTCTCAGTTGCAGGGATAAAATTCTTGTGCAGGACACAGACTGCACAGTGCAGATGTTTTTGAAGCTGTTGCTACTTGTATAAAATATAAACCACAACCTACCACGCTCATGTCTTTGGGCAAGCATTTTAAATCTTTATATTAAATTTTTCGGCACTTCATGCATGATTTAGGTAGAACTGCAATTTTTAATTTCTTTAGTCTTGAGATCTATTATCATATTTAGTTATTTTGTGTTCACTGGTTTGAACCAGCACATCTGTATTTTTATCAGGACGTTACAATATATTCAGAATATTTTTTTATCACGTTAGATGGGGAAAATGCTCTGAAGTAAACGATTTGAAACATGATCTGTGTGCTTGGTGTTAAATCAAAAACACTTTCTCTGTAGCAGTTGAAGAGCTAAAAGAAACCCCACCCTCTACATTACAACTGTGTTGTGTCCCCTCCTGCAGACCGGACTTGGAGCTGCAGTTTAAGTGTTACCATCATGAAGACAGACAGATGAACACTAACTGGCCTGCCTCTGTGCAGGTGAGCATTCTCACGTTTTCTTCTTCTTGTTTTATTGAACTTAGTGACTGTGATTCTGCTGCCTCAGTGAAGGGTTTACTTTTACGCAATCACAACGAGGACGAGTGTGTACTTTTTACTGAGCTCTCACGTAGTCATAGTGAAGGACGATGAGCACAAACTGTTTCTCTTAGTGAACGCTGAAAACTGCAGTAGAGAAATACCTCATTACAATAAATTAAAATGATGCCAAAGTGGACGAGCTGCGTGTGGAAATCCATGATCACCTTTACTGCTTTTCTATGGTCTAAAGGTAAATGGACTGTACTTGTACAGCTCCTTTCTTTCTGATCAAGACGCTCAAAGCTCTTTACAACAATCTGTGCCTCATTTACCCATTCATACAGCTCTATACTAGATCTATACAAAGTGCTTTATCACATTCATACATCGATGGGACACACATCAGAGACACTGAGGGTTCAGTGTCTTGCTCAGGGACACGTCAGCATGTGACTGCTGGTGGATTCGAACCCCCAACTCTTGCATTGGAGGACAACTGCTCTAACCACTCAGCCACAGCCGCCCCTGTTTAAGACAGAGCTAATCAACTAAGCTGCTCGGGGGCCACAGTTACTGAAAGCCAAGAGCTCAGGGGCCGGACATCCAGCAGTTATTGTCCTTAAGTAAATTTGTTTTGTGGTTTAAAATCTAGTTGTTTTATTAAATGAATCCATTGGTGGGCCGAACTGAGCTCACCAGTGGGCCTGATTTGGACCCCAGGCCACCAGCTGAATAGCCCTGGTCTAAGAGGTTCAGTATCAGTCAGGTGCAGCTGATCAAATGTATTGATTAACTGGTTATCATCAGTGTGAGCAGCTCTGTAACAGCAGGAGTTGTCATTTTGCTGCTCTGGAGCATACAGGTGTGTGTCAACACAAAGCCAAGATGGAAAGACATCAGCAATGATCTTAGAGAAGCAATTGTTGCTGCAAAATCTATCTGAAAAGGTTTGAAAGCTATTTTCAAAGTATTAACAGTCTCTTGTTCTACAGAGAAGAATATTATTCAATAGTGGAAAACGTTAAAAAATGGCTGTGAGTCTTCTGTAGTTTATTCTTTTATATGTTTTGTTTAATGGCAGCACGGTAGTGCAACTGGTAGAGCTGCTGCCTCTCAGCAAGCAGGTCCCTGGTTCAAATCCCGGTCCGGGTGCCTTTCTGGGTGGAGTTTGCATGTTCTCTCCGTGCATGCGTGGGTTTTCTCCAGGTGCTCCAGTTTCCTCCCACAGATCAAAAACATGCATGTTAGGCTGATTGGTAACTCTAAATTGTCCCTAGGTGTGAGTGAGAGAGTGAATGGTTGTTTGTCTCGTTTGTCTCTATGTCCCTGTGATGGACTGGAGACCCGTCCAGGGTGTACCCCGCCCCTCGCACAGTGATTGCTGGACATGGGCACCGGCGACCCCCGTGACCCAAAATGGAAGAAGCGGGTAAAGATAATGGATGGATGTTTTGTTTATTTATAGACGGGCATACTCATTTAATCTTTTGCTATTCATTTAACTTGAGTTTCAGTATTAGTGGTGTGTATAAAACTGTTTGTTTTTGTGTGCAGCAAATAAATGACAAAATAAAAAACTACATTAGAACTTTGAAAGGTACAATATGAGCTCCTGAGATGCTTTTTATTCAGCCTACTATTTTCTTTCAGGTCAGTGTTAATGCGACTCCTCTGTCTATTGAAAGAGGCGACAACAAAACCTCCCACAAGCCTTTGTACCTGAAGCAAGTGTGTCAGCCAGGGCGCAACACGGTGCAGATCACTGTGACGGCATGCTGCTGTGTACGTCTCATCTCAACACTGACTGACTCAGCCTTCAGAGCACTTCTACAAAGTATATTGCTGTAGACATGCAGATTCTCATCTGAACACGTTTCCTCTCCCGTCTCCGTGTCCCCAGTCCCACTTGTTTGTGTTGCAGTTGGTGCACCGGCCGTCTGTCAGGTCTGTCCTGCAGGGTCTAATGAAGAAGAGGCTGCTGCCAGCTGAGCACTGCATCACCAAGAGTGAGTCCGCTTCAGTTTGACTTCTTCACTTTGACAAAGAAACGGCACAAAGAACAGATGATTCAATAATTCAATAAATTTTTTTTAAGTTTCATTCAAATCTGTCCTGTGGTTCACAATTTTGCTAAAAGACTAAAGGGGTTTAGCTCGTTTGTGAGGAGATAAGTACTTACCGCCGTAAACGTCATGCCACCGTTATAAGTCACATTTATTATGTGTCACCGCTGACCACCTGGAAACATGGGCCGGTGCTGTGCCAAAAATCGATTGGCTGCCGAATGGCGGCCATGGGAGCATGCACAGGAGGACTTTCACGAGAATTTAACAAGAGTAACACTTAAAAACTATTATTTGTTTGCTCAACATTATAGTAAAGGTGTCTCAGTTGAACTTTTCCTTAATAAATGCACTTTGACGGTCAAACCAGCTGCATTTCACCTGGGCGGCACGGTGAAATTTAGCTGATTTGACGTTTGCTCCAGGAGTTCTGGAGCGAGATGAAGGTGGTATGTATGGCAAGCCAAGTGTCTCATTAATAGCCACTTTTACCTATTAATGAGACACTTGGCTTGCCATATTAGTCGAGGGCCCTCTAGCGGCTGAATATGTTCACGTTCAATATTTTCCATGTCAGAATGATTGAAATCGTCAGCTCGCAGCCAAAAATTGAATTATAAATATGGGAAAATAAACATAAATATGTCACTTCACTGTATAAGTCACAGGACATGCTATTTTATGCAAAAAACTGTGACTTAAACCCTATTCGCACGGGATTCGTTTTTCCTAGGGACCACATGCTATTTGTAATAATTACGGAGATTGTCTGTGTTGTTAATCCTGTGAGAATCGACCATGTCAGTAATTTATAAAGTAAAAATTCCCCCGCAAATTACCAACTATATTTTGCTGAACTCAGAGGTCCTGTGATAATACTAATCCAATGCGAATAGGTATCTCTGTGATTTGGACAGAAGTGGGCGGACTCTGATACATAATTAGGCAGTTTTTGTTTCCTGGGCACATTTTTATTTGCTTTTGGCAAAGGAGGCTGCATTGGAGTGCATAAATAACCTTTTGTGTCCCGGAGCAGCAAAAGCCTGTCGACCTGTAACGGTCGCCACAAGCAAATGTTACGCAATACGCAGCGCATTAACATCATATCTGGAAGGTTTCTTTAAATTTCAGCTAAATCTCAGGCTTTGGTTATTCTGTGCAAATAGGGCTTTATACAGTGAAAATTACGGTAGTTAAAATTCTTCTTTACTGCATTTTGTTTCAGTTAAAAGAAATTTCAGCAGCGGTACAATCCCTGGGACACCCGGTCTGAACGGAGAAGACGGGGTGGAGCAGACGGCAATCAAAGTGTCTCTCAAATGTCCGATCACATTCAGACGGATCCAGCTGCCAGCCAGAGGCCACGACTGCAGGCACATACAGGTGAGGTCCTACCTGCATTATTCACCCGGATCGATCCTAATCAGTTCTCACATACTGACGCTTTTATTTTGTAGTGTTTTGACCTGGAGTCTTATTTGCAACTGAACTGTGAAAGAGGGACGTGGAGATGTCCTGTGTGCAAGTATGCTGCTGCTGCTGTTAAATCCAGTTTCAGTCTCAGCAGCAAGAAAGTGAACCTGCTGTTCTCTTCTTGTTCACAGCAAAACAGCTTTGCTAGAAGGCCTGGAGGTTGACCAGTACATGCTCGGGATTCTTGTCTACATTCAGAAGTGAGTGCGGTTTTCTTTTTAAATACCCGTTTTTGGAAGGAATTGAAAAGGCTGCTTAATACAACACTGACTGAAGGAGAATTTACTTTTATGTTCATTTTTAAAACATTAATTATACTCGCCATCATTTTTTTTTTAAAGCTTAACAAGCAACACAGTTCATTTTTAGACAAATAAATAAAATCCTTAAGAATGTAAGTTTGTATCTGTTTTCTCCCTCAGCTCTGACTACGAGGAGATCACCATTGACCCGGTGTGCGGCTGGAGGCCGGTGCCCGTTAAACCTGACCTTCACATAAAGGAGGAGCCGGACGGTCCGGTCCTGAAACGCTGCCGGACTGTCAGTCCGAGTCATATGGTCCTGCCGAATGTGATGGAAATGATCGCAGCTCTAGGCCCAGCGTCGTCCCCCTACCAGAGTCTGTCTGCAGGAGGCAGGAACACCCCCGACTACAGCAGGCCAGGTGACCCATTCATTCCACCGGTGGACAAACGACAGCCAGAAAATGCTTATAGATGATTTTGTTTAAGAAACTGTTTCAAATACCATTTTAAATGTTTTTATTCTAATTTTTTTCTGCTCCTCGAAGCATTAAAAAACTGAACATTTCTGCCAGCCTGAAAATATTAGTTAAGTGAAATTCATGTTTGCTTTATTATGCTTTATATTTAGGAAGTCAAGGCTTTTCAAGCCAAGCAGGGTTTACAGATTTCCCCAACACTCCTGGGACCCCAACACTTGGGGAGTACTCCTCCTCTGGACCACCACCTCCTGTCTCCTACCAGTCTGAACAGGTCAGCCATCTTTAATCACTACACACATGCATGCATGATGTACCAGAACATCTTTGGAGTATTTTTAGGACAAGTTGCTTCATCAGTCTGAAGAAATCATGATTTCTAGGACTGATGAAGTCCTTTGGATGAAGGACGAAACATCTCAACAACAAAAAAGAAACTGTCCAGATGACCTGACTGAACTTTGTTGTATTTTTTTTGCCTGGATTATTGAGCATGAACTTTGATGTTAAAATGTTATAATTCACAATTACATGTCAAACAAAATGATGTGTTTTTTTGTCCTAAAATGTAAAATATCAATAAATGTTAAAAATCATAAGATGGTTTCAGTTGTATAAAGTCACCCACACTGACCAGAAAAGCCCCCCAGTAACAAACTTGAAGTGGCCCACAGGCCACCAGTTGAATGTCACAGTTGTAGCAGGTCATGCAGCTCTGGACACGTTTTCTTTAGTGAGCGAGGGGGCAGGTTACAGACCCCCGCCCTGGGAGGAAGAGCACCTGCTGGCTTCATAGGAGTCCAAATGAAAGGAGATTATTTTTCCAAACACGGACCTTCTCATTTTTATTTTCCTTTTTTAATGAGGAAAATTATTCAACATGTAAGTTTACAAAATATTAATTACCAGTTTGAACACGTTCAATTTATTTTCAGGAAGGAAAGAGCCACCATGGATGGATGGATGTATATATGGATGGATGGATGGATGTATGGATATATGAATGTATATATGGATGGATGGATGGATGTATGGATATATGAATGTATATATGGATGGATGAATGATGGATGTATATATGGATGGATGGGTGTACAGGTCCTTCTCAAAAAAATTAGTATATTGTGATAAAGGTCATTATTTTCCATAATGTAATGATAAAAATGAAACTTTTATATATTTCAGATTCATTGCACACCAACTGAAATATTTCAGGTCTTTAATTGTTTTAATACTGATGATTATGGCATACAGCTCATGAAAACCCAAAATGCCTGTCCCAAAAAATTAGCACATCATGAAAAGGTTCTCTAAACAATCTATTAACCTAACCATCTGAATCAACGACATAACTCTAAACACCTGCAAAAGATTCCTGAGGCTTTTAAAAACTCCCAGCCTTGTTCATTACTCAAAACCACAATCATGGGTAAGACTGCCGACCTGACTGCTGTCCAGAAGGCCATCATTGACACCCTCAAGCAAGAGGGTAAGACACAGAAAGAAATTGCTGAACGAATAGGCTGTTCCCAGAGTGCTGTATCAAGGCACCTCAGTGGGAAGTCTGTGGGAAGGGAAAAGTGTGGCAGAAAACGCTGCACAACGAGAAGAGGTGACCGGACCCTGAGGAGGATTGTGGAGAAGGGCCGATTCCAGACCTTGGGGGACCTGCGGAAGCAGTGGACTGAGTCTGGAGTAGAAACATCCAGAGCCACCGTGCACAGGCGTGTGCAGGAAATGGGCTACAGGTGCCGCATTCCCCAGGTCAAGCCACTCTTGAACCAGAAACAGCGGCAGAAGCGCCTGACCTGGGCTACAGAGAAGCAGCACTGGACTGTTGCTCAGTGGTCCAAAGTACTTTTTTCAGATGAAAGCAAATTTTGCATGTCATTCGGAAATCAAGGTGCCAGAGTCTGGAGGAAGACTGGGGAGAAGGAAATGCCAAAATGCCAGAAGTCCAGTGTGAAGCACCCACAGTCAGTGATGGTCTGGGGTGCCATGTCAGCTGCTGGTGTTGGCCCACTGTGTTTTATCAAGGGCAGGGTCAATGCAGCAGCTATCAGGAGATTTTGGAGCACTTCATGCTTCCATCTGCTGAAAAGCTTTATGGAGATGAAGATTTCATTTTTCAGCACGACCTGGCACCTGCTCAAGGTGTCAAAACCACTGGTAAATGGTTTACTGACCATGGTATTACTGTGCTCAATTGGCCTGCCAACTCTCCTGACCTGAACCCCATAGAGAACCTGTGGGATATTGTGAAGAGAAAGTTGAAAGACGCAAGACCCAACATTCTGGATGAGCTTAAGGCCGCTATCGAAGCATCCTGGGCCTCCATAACACCTCAGCAGTGTCACAGGCTGATTGCCTCCATGCCACGCCGCATTGAAGCAGTCATTCATGCAAAAGGATTCCCGACCAAGTATTGAGTGCATAACTGAACATGATTATTTGAAGGTTGGTGTTTTTTGTATTAAAAACACTTGTCTTTCATTGGTGGGATGAAATATGCTAATTTTTTGGGACAGGCATTTTGGGTTTTCATGAGCTGTATGCCATAATCATCAGTATTAAAACAATTAAAGACCTGAAATATTTCAGTTGGTGTGCAATGAATCTGAAATATATGAAAGTTTAATTTTTATCATTACATTATGGAAAATAATGACCTTTATCACAATATGCTAATTTTTTGAGAAGGACCTGTATATATGAATGAATGAATGGATGAATGAATGGATGGACGTGTTCTTGAGCATCTTTTAGGTTAAAGTATGTGAAATAGCCACAATATGGCCATGAACTCTCAATAAATCAGTTTAAAATGATTGATTTGGACATTTTTGATCATAACTGTTACAAAGAATAAACCTAGTTGTCATAAAATTTGTGGATATTGTGGTTGTTATTTCTCGTTGTCTGGTCGTGTCTTTGTTTAATAGGGTTATTAGCTGTTTTTCTATATTCAGATGAACAACTGATGAGGTCACAAAGCCTTGGATCTCATTTTGTGGGTCAGAAGAAGAATAAACCACCATGATCTTGTTACAGACATTTTGTGCACATCACAACAATCCTATAATAAGTAACAGAGATCCCAATGTGTTCTTAACGTGTGCCTGAAGACCTCCACATTATTGTTGGTTTATGTTGATTTATGATATTTTGCAAATGAGAAAAATGACTAATCAGCTGCCAATTGTATTAATGGTCTGCTCATTTTCTTTTTGTCTGAAACAACCTTAAATTTCTTATTCTAAAAGAAAAGCGCGGCCTCATCCATTTGTCCTGTAAGTTTATTTTATGCAGCCTTTCCCTGGAGCTGTCCCAACCAAGGAGCCTGTGCTGCAGGTGTGATTTGAAGCCACTGACTCACACCTGACTTACTTTGTTTCTGCTTTCAGACACCTCATCCTGGAGGAATTGAGCACTCCCATAGCATCCTCCAGCAGCACGTCTCAGGTGTCCATGGCAACCAGAGTCTCCGTGACGCCAGCAGCCCGCTGCCTCCGAGGAGCACCAGTACCCAGAATTCTCGGCTGCAGGGCGAAGGCTCCTTTGGTCTAGGTGGACCAGGAGGAGAGGGGCCTGATCACACACTGGATGTGAGGAGAAGTTAGAATATGATTTCAGCTCTGAGACCAGATAAAACTTTAGATTTAAAGATTTTGTTTCCCATTTTTAAACTGTTATTCAACTCAGTTTATTTCTATAGTGCCAAGGCACAAGTGAAGTCATCTCAGGGCACTGAACAGAAACATTCACATGCATGAACATGACCAGTTAGTAAAGTTCTCCATCTAACGAAGCAGCAGATTGTGTTGAATCTTCTTCACAGTCTCATCCTGAGCAGCACAAAGGAGACAGTGGGAAGGAAAAACTCCCTTTTCACAGGAAGAAACCTCCAGCAGAACCAGCCTCAGGACGAGCAGTCGTCTGCTTCGACCGTATTTCAGAACGATAAATAACATATTTTCCAGTGTATAAGTCACATCGTTCAAAAAAAGCATCATGAAGAGGAAAAAAAGCATATGTAAGTCGCTTTGAAGTATAAGTTGCATTTATTATGCGTTTATTTAATGGTCAAAAAGTGCGTTATGAATATGGAAAAAAAAATATCTATAAGTCACAGAACTGACAAATCTATTAAAAAAAACCTGTGACGTATACACTGGAAAATACGGTAATTTAAACTGCACAAACCGCATTGTCTCCGTTAGAGCTCATTTAATTTGTTGGTCAGTCAGTAATCTCACTGACTGCTGCTCTTTGTAGGTTTTTACTTTTACAGAAAAAACATCTGGTAGAAAATGTTAAAACAGAGAGTTAAAGTAGGAAAACAACATAAAGCTGTTGTCAAATTAATTTTACCTCTATTTTCTGTAAAAGGTTGTTTATATAAAGAGAAGTAACTCCTGTATTTACTGTTAATTATATAAAATCAGACTTTTTGTGTCATTCAGCTTAAACTGTTAATCTTTCTGATTAGAAATGTTCTTAGATTTTGACATGTTCTGAAGGCATTTGGACCACTCCGGTTCGGTAGTAGGACCTGATGAAACCAACTTTCTGAAACTGTTTCAACAACGGTACCAACAAAGATGTATTTTAATTTGGACCAGGGTAATTTTCTCTGATGGTGTTCTTTGTTCTACTGGCATCTGATGACCCCACCTGCTTGTCTTCTTTTCTAATACAAACCAGATTCCAAAAAAGTTGGGACACTAAACAAATTGTGAATAAAAACTGAATGCAATGATGTGGAGATGGCAAATGTCAATATTTTATTCGTAATATAACATAGATGACAGATCAAAAGTTTAATCGGAGTAAATGTAACATTTTAAAGGAAAAATATGTTGATTCAAAATTTCACAGTGTCAACAAATCCCAAAAAAGTTGAGACAAGTAGCAATAAGTGGCTGGAAAAAGGAAATTGAGCATATAACGAACAGCTGGAAGACCAATTAACACTAATTAGGTCAATTGACAACATGATTGGGTATAAAAAGATCTTCTCAGAGTGTCAGTGTCTCTCAGAAGACAAGATGGTAAGAGGATCACCAATTCCACCATTGTTGCGCAGAAAGATAGTGTAGCAATACCAGAATGGTGTTACCCAGCGTAAAATAGCAAAGACTTTTAAGTTATCATCATCAACCGTGCATAACATCATCAAAAGATTCAGAGAATCTGGAACAATCGCTGTGCGTAAGGGTCAAGGCCGTAAAACTCTACTGGATGCTCGTGATCTCCAGGCCCTTAAACGTCACTGCACCTGAAACAGGAATGCCACTGTCAAGGAAATAACAGAATGGGCTCAGGAATACTTCCAGAAAGCATTGTCAGTGAACACAATCCACCGTGCCATCTGCTGTTGCCAGCTGAAACTCTACAGTGCAAAGAGGAAGCCATTTCTAATCAAGCTCCACGTTTGCACTGGGCCAGGGGTCATTTAAAATGGAGTGTGGCAAAATGGAAGACTGTTCTGTGGTCAGATGAGTCACGATTTGAAGTTCTTTATGGAGCACTGGGACGCCATGTCATCCGGACCAGAGAGGACAAGGATAGTCCAAGTTGTTATCAACGCTCCGTTCAGAAACCTGCATCACTGATGGTATGGGGTTGCATGAGCGCTTGTGGCATGGGCAGCTTGCATGTCTGGAAAGGCACCATTAATGCAGAGAACCATGTTCAGGTTCTAGAACAACGTATGCTCCCATCTAGACGTCATATCTTTCAGGGAAGACCCTGCATTTTTCAACACGATAATGCCAGACCA